CCCTGCCTGCATTTTTACTGTTCTTTCTGCCTGGAAACTGAGAAAAGTCCATGGCGTCCAAAAAGCGTCCCTTTAGGTCAGACGCGGTTTTAGACCGGCTAGAGAACAGCGATAGTAAATCAGAACCACTTGCAGAATTGAGTGATAATGATTCGTGGGGGAAATTCCTCATCAGACACTGAAAACGATTCTGCGAGTTTGCTCAGCGATGTGCGAACTTGGCGCTCTATTTCAAATTTCAGTGTTTTTGGTTTGATTATATTATTGAATTAAATTTATTATTATTATATTATTATTTTTTATGAGTATTTATTAAATTATAATTTATGATTTAATGTTTCAAGTTTTATCCTCCCGGGATGTTTACTAGACTCTTGTTCGGACAGATTTCAGGGAGTTATTCCTAAATTACAGGCCTACAATTAAAAAAATACATATTTCAATGCAAAAAAATGTGCCGCTTTGAGCACAGAAATACTGACATAATCAGACCGCTAGGGAGGCTACTGTGTAGTCTATGGAAAATATGGGGGTACTGAAGCTTAGCGTCATTTCACACTCGCATGCGAATTTAAGGTTTGACATGTTGGGTATCTATTTACTCCATTTACCTTATCTTTTATATTTTACAAAAAATATTCGGGTAATTTATATAACATTTTGGGGAGTTTATGTAATATTCAAGCCTAAAATGATTATTCACGCATGTGTGCAAAAAAATTTAGAACTTGCTCTGGCAGCAAAAGGATTAAAAGAGAAGTATGGACTTTTAAAAAATATATAATTTATCCGATGCTGCATCTGTCCCCTGACATCTATGCAGTTAGAACTGAGAGATCAAACACCGATGATCGCTCAATGCTCCCCTCCACTCTTGAGCAGAGTGCTAGGACTGTCAGTCTCCAGCTCTCTGCTTTACCCCTCCAGGTGCCAGTCCAGGCTTCTGGGTGAATCCCAACTATTTGGTCGGGATTTTACTAGACTCTTGTTCGGACAGATTTCAGGGAGATATTCCTAAATTACAGGCCTACAATAAAATAAATACATACCGTATTTTTCGCTCCGTAAGACGCACTTTTTTCCCCCAAAAAAAGGGGGGAAAATGTCAGCAATGGAGCGAATATAAAGCGGCTGGTCGGTATTTCTGCCGCCACCATGTCAGAATATCGGGCCGGCCACTCAGCTGTTGTCTCCTGCAAGGCCTTACTTGTTCCTCGCTCCAGCGCTGCACAGTCTTCCCTCGCTGGCTTCTGTGACAGCCGGGTGCCCACTGCGCATGTGCTGCGCTTTGTGAATGATCCGGTGTCTTCTGGGACACATGACAGGTCCCAGAAGGCGCCGGGCCATTCACAAAGCGCAGCGCTTCTCGCGCATGCGCAGTGGGCACCCGGCTGTCACAGAAGCCGGCCCGGGAAGAAGAGCGAAGGACAACTCCGTGGAAGTTGGAGCGGGTACCTGTCAAATTCAGGTACCCACTCCCCCTCCCTCCCCAAAGGTCAGCAGCCTCTGGTCATTCCCTGCACTGTCTACAGTCTCTGGTCATTCCCTGCACTGTCTGCAGTCTCTGATCATTCCCTGCACTGTCTACAGTCTCTGGTCATTCCTGCACTGTCCGCAGTCTCTGGTCATCTCCTGTACTGTGTCCGCAGTCTCTGGTCATCTCCTGCACTGTGTCCGCAGTCTCTGGTCATCTCCTGTACTGTCCGCAGTCTCTGGTCATCTCCTGTACTGTGTCCGCAGTCTCTGGCCATCTCCTGTACTATGTCCGCAGTCTCTGGTCATCTCCTGTACTGTGTCCGCAGTCTCTGGTCATCTCCTGTACTGTGTCCGCAGTCTTTGGTCATCTCCTGTACTATGTCCGCAGTCTCTGGTCATCTCCTGTACTATGTCCTCAGTCTCTGGTCATCTCCTGTACTGTGTCCGCAGTCTCTGGTCATCCCCTGTGCTGTCCGCAGTCTCTGGTCATCTCCTGTACTGTCCGCAGTCTCTGGTCATCTCCTGTACTGTCCGCAGTCTCTGGTCATCTCCTGTATTGTGTCCGCAGTCTCTGGTCATCTCCTGTACTGTGTCTGCAGTCCATTGGTTCAGAATATTTTTTTTCCTTGTTTTTCGCCTCTAAAACCTAGGTGCGTCTTATGGAGCGAAAAAATACGGTATTTCCATGCAAAAAAATGGTACCGCTTTTGGTACCAAATTCCTGACATAATCAGACCGCCAGGGAGGTTAAGGCAGCCAAATAAATACATAACTGTAAGCCTATTGGCTCTGATAAGTGGTGAAGAGTAACCCCAATAAATCACAGTATATTATGATACAAATTAAAACAAGGGCCTGATTTGAAATAAACTTATACAAATGTTGATATTCCCAGATTTCCTGAGTAAAAAGCAATTAGAGACAAGAAAACAGTGGCATTCTGGAACTTAAAGCAGGCCTGGGGGAGAGAGAAGAGAGACGGCACTAAATGATACTACTTAGTATGCAAGCTCCTCTGTGCTGCTGTTTATAAAGAGAGTCTCTCAGCAGGCGGGTGTGCTCAAAATTCTGGTCTATTCTCAAAGCCAACTCATTCTGCAAACACCAACGGCAGAGGATTTTCTGCTTCCAGCACGTTTGTGCACTGTGGCCACTGGGCCCCATTTAATAGAAGACCTTTTCATGAATATACTAAATAACCCTTGTACTAAATGATACCTGTTATACTATGAGCCTAGTTCTGTTTTTCTTTGTATAAGTTAACTGCTTCCCCGCAGATGTACTGCTACGTGGGCGGCAGGGCTGCAGAAAATCACATACGTATTTTTCGCTCCATAAGAGCACTTTTTTCCCCCCCAAAAAAAGGGGGGGGAAATGTCAGTGGCGTCTTATGGAGCGAATATGGAGCGGTCCCGGACCGGTCTTTCCAGCGCCGCCGTGTCCAGACGTTTCATACCGGGCCGGCTGTCTTCAGCTCTGCAGCGGGACCTTATGGAGATGACTGCTGACCTTTGGGGAGGTGGGGAGCGGGTACCACTGAATTTGACAGTCTATGGTCGTAAATCCTCACTTTTCCGCGGAGTTCCTCTATCCAGCGCGCGCTGTCTTCCCGGCTTCTGTAGTGTGGGCACTGGGTTTGACAGCCGGGTGCCAAGTGCGCTAATGTCCGCAGCAAGAAGCTGCTTTATCCTGTGAATGGTAAGGCGGTACCTGGGACACATGACAGATCCCAGAAGCCGCCGGACCAATCACAAAGCGCAAGTGCTTCTCCGCTTTGCGCACTGGCACCCGGCTGTCATCCCCGAGCGCCATTACAGAAGTCGAAAGACAGCGCGCGGCTGGATAGAGGAACAGATAAGATCAAAGAACAACTCCGCAGAAGTAAAGAGCGGGTATCTGTCAACAAATTCAGGTACCAACTTCCCCCCCTCCCCAAAGGTCAGCAGTCATCTCCTGTACTGTCCGCAGTCTCTGGTCATCCTGTGCTGTCCGCAGTCTCTGGTCATCTCCTGTACTTTGTCTGCAGTCTCTGGTCATCTCCTGTACTATGTCCGCAGTCTCTGGTCATCTCCTGTACTGTGTCCGCAGTCTCTGGTCATCTCCTGTACTGTGTCCGCAGTCTCTGGTCATCTCCTGTACTGTGTCCGCAGTCTCTGGTCATCCCTGTACTATGTCCGCAGTCTCTGGTCATCTCCTGTACTATGTCCGCAGTCTCTGGTCATCCCTGTGCTGTCGTCGCAGCAGTCTCTGGTCATATTTCTCCTGTATTTTTGACTATGTCCGCAGTCTCTGGTCATCCCCTGTACTATGTCTGCAGTCTCTGGTCATCTTCTGTACTGTGTCCGCAGTCTCTGGTCACCTCCTGTACTATTCCGCAGTCCTCTGGTCAAATTCCTGTACTAATGTCTGCAGTCTCTGGTCATCTCTGTACTATGTCCTGCAGTCTCTGGTCATCTTCTGTACTGTGTTCCGCAGTCTCTGGTCACCTCCTGTACTATGTCCGCAGTCTCTGGTCATCTCCTGTACTATGTCCGCAGTCTCTGGTCATCTCCTGTACTGTCCGCAGTCTTGGTCATCTCCTGTACTGTATGTCCGCAGTCTCTGGTCATTCCTGTACTATGTCCAGCAGTCTCTGGTCATCTCCTGTACTGTCGCAGTCTCTGGTCATTCTCCTGTACTGTGTCCGCAGTCTCTGGTCATCTCCTGTACTGTGGTCCGCAGTCTCTGGTCATCCCTCCTGTACTGGTGTCCGCAGTCTCTGGTCATCCTCTGTACTATTGTCGCAGTCTCTGGTCATCCTCTGTACTATGTCCGTAGTCTCTGGTCATCTCCTGTACTGTGTCCGCAAGTCTCTGGTCATCCCCTGTACTATGTCCGCAGTCTCTGTCATCTCCTGTACTATGTCCGCAGTCCCTGGTCATCCCCTGTTTACTATGTCGCAGTCTCTGGTCATCCCCTGTACTATGTCCGCTCAGTCTCTGGTCATCTCCTGTACTATGTCCGCAGTCTCTGGTCATCCCCTGTACTAGTCCGCAGTCTCTGGTCCATTCCCTGTACTGTGTCCGCAGTCTCTGGTCAGAATATCCTGTACTATGTCCGCAGTCTCTGGTCATCCCCTGTACTGTGTCTGCATTCTCTGGTCATCTCCTGTACTGTGTCCGCAGAGTCTCTGGTCATCTCCTGTACTATGTCCGCAGTCTCTGGTCATCCCCTGTACTGTGTCTGCAGTCTCTGGTCATCTCCTGTTACTGTGTACCGCAGTCTCTGGTCATCTCCTGTACTGTGTCCGCAGTCTCTGGTCATCCCCTGTACTGTGTCTGCCGTCTCTGGTCTCTCCTGTACTGTGTACGCAGTCTCTGGTCATCTCCTGTACTATGTCCGCAGTCTCTGGTCATCTCCTGTACTATGTCCGCAGTCTCTGGTCATCTCCTGTACTGTGCCACCGCAGTCTCTGGTCATCTCCTGTACTATGTCCGCAGTCTTCTGGTCATCTCCTGTACTGTGTCCGCAGTCTCTGGTCATCTCCCTGTACTGTGTCCGCAGTCTCTGGTCATCTCCTGTACTATGTCCGCAGTCTCTGGTCATCCCCTGTACTGTGTCTGCAGTCTCTGGTCATCTCCTGTACTGTGTCCGCAGTCTCTGGTCATCTCCTGTACTGTGTCCGCAGTCTCTGGTCATCCCCTGTACTGTGTCTGCAGTCTCTGGTCATCTCCTGTACTATGTCCGCAGGCTCTGGTCATCTCCTGTACTGTGTCCGCAGTCTCTGGTCATCTCCTGTACTATGTCCGCAGTCTCTGGTCATCTCCTGTACTGTGTCCCTCAGTCTCTGGTCATCTCCTGTACTGTGTCCGCAGTCTCTGGTCATCTCCTGTACTATGTCCGCAGGTCTCTGGTCATCTCCTGTACTATGTCCGCAGTCTCTGGTCATCTCCTGTACTGTCTGCAGTCTCTGGTCATCCTCCTGTACTGTGTCCGCAGTCTCTGGTCATCTCCTGTACTGTGTCCGCAGTCTCTGGTCATCTCCTGTACTATGTCCGCAGTCTCTGGTCATCTCCTGTACTGTGTCCGCAGTCTCTGGTCATCTCCTGTACTGTGTCCGCAGTCTCTGGTCATCTCCTGTACTGTGTCCGCAGTCTCTGGTCATCCCTGTACTGTGTCCGCAGTCTCTGGTCATCTCCTGTACTATATCCGCAGTCTCTGGTCATCCCTGTGCTATATCCGCAGTCTCTGGTCATCCCTGTGCTGTCCGCAGTCTCTGGTCATCTCCTGTACTATGTCCGCAGTCTCTGGTCATCTCCTGTACTATGTCCGCAGTCGAGTGTGGTCATCTCCTGTTACTGTGTCCGCAGTCTCTCTGGTCATCCCCTGTACTGTGTCCGCAGTCTCTGGTCATCTCCTGTACTGTGTCCGCAGTCTCTGGTCATCTCCTGTACTGTGTCCACAGTCTCTGGTCATCTCCTGTACTGTGTCCACAGTCTTCTGGTCATCTCCTGTACTGTGTCCACAGTCTCTGGTCATCTCCTGTACTGTGTCCGCAGTCTCTGGTCATCTCCTTTACTATGTCTGCAGTCTCTGGTCATCTAGCTCCTGTGCTGTCCGCAAGGTCTCTGGTCATCTCCTGTATATGTCTGCAGTCCATTAGTTTCAGAATTTTTTTTTTTCCTGTTTTCCTGCCTCTAAAACCTAGGTGCGTCTTATGGAGTGAAAAATACGGTATATACATGATTTTGCATTTACCGCACCGCCATTGGTGGCTATAGATGTCGATCATCGGGTTCCTCCTGGAGATTCCCCATCGGCACCTGGCGATCGCCCGAGTATCTCTGACAGGGGAGATATCTATGTGTAAACACGGGTCTCTCTCCTAACAGCAGTAACATGCTGCTGTGCACACCAGGGCGGACTGACCATTCGAGCACTCAGGCACTGCCCAAGGGCCCGGGGTCAGTAGGGGGCCCCATGAAATGTCCCTGGTACCTTCTATAGGCTTTTTTGGGTGTGCTTTGAGTTTGGGCAAGGACACAGGGGCCCCATGATCCCCTAATTGCCCGGGGCCCCATGAGTTGTCAGTCCGCCCCTATGCTGTGTACTTCTTTGTTCAAACATGTTTCCTTAGTATAACACACACAGCACACAGTTAACCCTTTAATTGCCCTAGATGTTAACCCCGTCTTGCCCAGTGTCATTAGTACAGTGTCAGTGTTTTTTATTATCACTGATCCAGGGACGGACTGACAACTCATGGGGCCCCCAGGCAATAGGGGATCATGGGGTCCCTATGTCCTTGCCCAAGCTCAAAAAAGCCTATGAAAAAGGTGACAGAGGCATCTCGTTTGGGCCCCCTACTGGCCACGGGCCCTCAATAGGGGATCATGGGGCCCTTGTGTCCTTGCCCAAACTCAAAAAAGCCTATGAAAAAGGTACCATGGGCATCTCATGGGGCCCCCTACTGACCATGGGCCCTCAATAGGGGATCATGGGGCCCCTGTGTCCTTGCCCAAACTCAAAAAAGCCTCTGAAAAAGGTACCATGGGCATCTCACGGGGCCCCCTACTTACCCCGGGCCCTCGGGCAGAGCCGAGTTTCCAAATGATCAGTCCGCCCCTGATATGGGAGTGACATTCCTTACCATTAATACTAGGGGCCTCAATCACCCAGCAAAGTGTAAATCTTTATGGCAGGAAGCCATCCAATACAAATGTGACATTCTCTGTGTTCAGGAAACACCCTTTTCTGACCAAAATCCTCCTAAAGGCTCTCATAAGAGCTTTCCACATATTTTCTTTGCCAACACAAATGAAAAAAAACGAGGGACTCTAATAGCCATCAAAGACACAGTCTCCTTTACTCTGCACAGAGAAATCAAACACCTCAACGGTCGATACCCAATCTTAATATGCAACATAAATTCTACAACCTATACGTTGGTTATCGCATGTTTCCCAAATAAACATCAACTACGCTTTTTCAACAAATTGCTTAATAAAGTCCATAAACTCCAACAAGGTTCTCTTTTAAGTGTCCGTTTATGACACACAGAATAGCTGAGATTCAGAGGATCTCAGCTATTCTCTGGTCATTCACAGTTTATGACACTCAGGAGATCATGTCAGCCCTTCTCTGGAGATCTGTGTTCTCCCTCCAGATTCTCCAACCCAGAGCTGGAGAATCGGAGGGACCGAAAACTAAGCAGAGATAATTTACCTCAGCTTAGTAAACTGATCTTTTACTGTAATCTCATGAGATTATAGTAAAATCAGCCGTTTTCCAGCATTTGTAGACCGTTCTCCCTTCGTTCGGAGAACTGCTTCATAAACTGCATTCACAGGAGAACTGTGTTCTCTGAGAATGCCGGAGAACTGAGCAGCGATCTATTACCGCTGGTTCATAAACGGACACCTTAATGTGTGGAGACTTTAACCTCCCTCCAGATCCAGTTATGGATTCTACAGCTTCTCCAAAGAGATATCCAACATCCCTACAACACTCTATCCAATTTCAAGATCTTTACGACACCTGGCGGTGTCTTCACGCTACTGGAAAGGACTTTACCTTTTTCTCTACATCCCACAGATCCTACTCACGCATCAACCTATTTTTAACAGACCAGTGAACTTTATCCAAAGTGGAATCCATTACTATAAATAGCATCACGCAGGGGCGGACTGACCATTTGGAAAGTGGGCCCCGGGGGTCAGTAGGGGCCCCATGAGATGCCCCTGGTACCTTTTTCATAGGCTTTTTTTTGAGTTTGGGCAAGGACACAGGGGCCCCATGATCCCCTATTACCCGGGGGCCCCATGGGTTGTCAGTCCGCCCCTGGCATCACATGGTCTGATCATTCCTTCATTTCACTAACCCGGGTGTCGGCAACCCGCGGCTCCGGAGCCGCATGCGGCTCTTTTTCACCTTTCCTGCGGCTCCGGAGCACACTGCCCACCAGGTGACAGGCAATAGGGTCGGCAAGCCGCGGCTCTTTTAATGCAGATCTTCTGTGTGCCGGGCGCCCGCTGGCAAACATTGGCTGTCAGGATGTAGGCGGGACAGCCCGGATGTAGGCGGGGCAGCGTGACGAACTCCTCTCCTCTCACAGTCCGCCCTGAAGACCAGAACGGCACGGGAACCCAGCGAGAGGAACGCGCGGAGCAAAGGTAAGTGAATTCACACAATATGGGAATGAATTAAATGAATTACTATGGGGGATGAATTACTACAGGGGGATGAATTACTATATGGGGGATGAATTACTATATGGGGGATGAATTACTATAGGGGGGATGAATTACTATAGGGGGGATGAATTACTATATGGGGGAATTACTATAGGGGGGATGAATTACTATGGGGGATGAATTACTACGGGGGATGAATTAATAGGGGGGATGAATTATATGGGGGATGAATTACTATGGGGGGGATGAATTACTATAGGGGGGATGAATTACTATAGGGGGGATGAATTACTATGGGGGATGAATTACTATAGGGGGGATGAATTACTATAGGGGGGATGAATTACTATGGGGGATGAATTACTATATGGGGGATGAATTACTATATGGGGGATGTATTTTCAGTTTTAAAAATGTTTCTCTCAAAATAAATTTCAATCGTGGTTTTGGCGAGATTTGGCTCAGTCGAAAAAAAAGGTTGCCCACCACTGACCTAAGGCTATGATTGTGATTATGACGATACACTGTGGCCCTGATTAACCCTTTGCTTACTGGGCCCTTAAAACCCCCTTCATGACCAGAGCGTTTTTTGCAATATAAGCAGTGTCGGATTTGTTTTAAATGTTGCAATGGTTTTGCGGCTCCCAGTCTTTTTTTCCCTCTCGGAAACGGGTCCAAGTGGCTCTTTATGTCTTAAAGGTTGCAGACCCCTGCACTAACCATACAGGGCTAATTCACTACCAACCCCACCTTCCTTTGGAGAGCTAACCCTAGGCTAATGCAACAAGAATAGACTAAATCTACACTAGAGAAATATATTTATGATTGTTTTATTGATAACTCTGATTCAGTAGCAGACCCTTTTATAGTATGGATTGCCCATAAAGTATATATTAGAGGTACATTTATTAAACTGGGAGCTGGGGAAAGAGGAGGAGGCAAAAGCTTATCCATGATCTCACACAAGAAATTAGCACTCTAGATACCCAAAATAAACTTGCCCCATTCCCAGGGCTTTCCAAAAACACCACACACATGCTGTCCAACCTTTGCACACTTCTGCTAGAAAACTTTGAAAGGGCATCTAGAAAGCTTAAAATGACCTACTATGTGAACGGCAATAGAGCTGGTAAAGTACTAGCCCAACGCTTAAAAGGTCAGAGAGTTAAAACTAAAATTCCCATCTTGATTTATTCAACTACTAAAAAGAAACTATATCAACCCCAAGCAGGAGCGGACTGACAACTCATGGGGCCCCCGGGCAATAGGCGATCATGGGGCTCCTGTGTCCTTGCCCAAACTCAAAAAAGCCTATGAAAAAGGTACCAGGCACATCTCATGGGGCCCCCTACTGACCCCGGGCCCTCGGGCAGTGCCCGAGTTTCCAAATGGTCAGTCCGCCCCCGACCCCAAGATATAGCAGACACATTCAGTCAGTACTACAGTACTCTATATAACCTTAACTCTGACTCTGATACTACCCAACCCACACCAGACCTGATAAAAGATTTTACAAAGTTATCTCTTCCCCAACTCTCAAAGGATCAATTGGAAGCTTTAAACTCACTCTTTACAAGAAATTGCTCACGCAATAGACTTACTACCTAACAATAAATCACCAGGGTCAGATGGCTTCACTGGGGAATACTTTAAATCATACAAACATCTTCTAATTCCACCTATAGAAAAAAATCTATAACGCAGCCATAGCCACCTCCTCTTTTTCCTCCTGAAATGCTCAAAGCGTTAATCATAACTTTACCTAAAGCACGGAGAGTCTGGTCACACCCCAAAATTTCCACCCTATTTCGCTTTGAACAACGATCTCAAATTATATGCCAAATTGATTGCATCCTGTTTGGTTAATGTATTACTATTAGAGATGAGCGAATCGAACCTGGCGAAGTGGAATTCATTTCGAATTTCAGGAAAAATTCGATTCGCGGCGAATCCGAATAATTAGCATACTTCGGGTGCGCGAATCGGATTTTTTTCCCGATCAGCCGCAAAAGTGTCCCTGCAGAGAGCTCTGCTATTTCTGACAGTTCTCTGACAGTTCCTTCACATGTACAGCGGTTTTGAAACATTGTATCTATTTGTTTCAAAAAAAGAAAAAAAAAGGAAAAAGGAAAAAAAGAAAAAAAGAAAAAAAGAAGAAAAAGGAAAAAAAAATAAAAAAAACTGACATTCACATTTACAGCGGTTGAAACATTGTATCTATTTGTTTCCATTTATGGAAACAAATAGATACAATGTTTCAACCGCTTTAATTGTGAATGTCAAAGAACTGTCAGAAATAGAGGAGCTCTGCAGATACACTTTTTGCCGGCTTGGAATTCTTATTTTCATCCTACTTCTCTTCTTCTTCTTCTTCATCCTCATCCTCATCCTCTTCTTCTTCTTCTGAGGATGAGGATGAGGATGAAGAAGAAGAAGAAGAAGTAGGATGAAAATAAGAAGAATTCCAAGCCGGCAAAAAGTGTATCTGCAGAGCTCCGCTAAGTGTATCTGCAGAGCTCCGCTAAGA